GGGGGGGGAGCTCGGTGGAGGGCCGGAGGGGAGCGTCTCCTGCCGCCTCGCGTAGTGTTATCAGCATTCACGCGTGGCTCCACCTCCTCCCATCCACCTGTCGCGAAGCCGGGCGGGGCGGGGGGGCAGCCGAGGCAGGTCTCCGTCCGACCCGAGTTTTCATTGCTTGTATGTCATTAAGCCTCCGAAACGTATTGCGTGAATCTGCAATCTTATACCGTAGTCACTAAAAAGGAAGGCAATCCTGAATCCAAGACCCTCACCTACCTCGCATTATTATGCAGATAAATGTATAGAAAATTGGGCAGTACGGTTACTTGTATGTATACCCAGAACTTTGGTCATATTTCCCCACATAGTTATTCAGCTTCAGATGTGTCTTTAGAGAATATGTGCTTCTCATAATGAGTTTAACAGTAGTTTATATATATGAAAATTTAATAATTGATATATACTTTTGCAAATTAAATCTGACACCAGAGACAACTTCTGATAATTGATTTTTCTCTGTTGGATGCTGTTTTTACAGACAACATATTTCTTAGTGATGAAATTATTGCAAATGGTTTCCATTCCTGTGAGAGTGATGAAGATGACAGAGCCTCTCATGCAAGCTCTAGCGACTGGACTCCAAGGCCACGTATAGGTGGGCATTTAAATGGCAGCTCCCAAGATTTTATTATTCTTGAGTTTTTTTGGTGAAAAGTCCTCTCCTCTCCTTCTGGTCAGACAAGCTCTAGGCATCAGTGATGCTGTCATTCCCTATAAATAAGTCTTGGTTTACTGCATACATTTTGCTATTCAGATGGTATGAGTAGCAGTGGACCTCAGATGAGCAGCTGAATGACCCAATGCATCTGGCCTCACCATCAATGCTCCCTCTAAGATGTGGAGCCTTGTGAGCAAAAATTCTACTTTGTGAGCCACTGGCATTAAAGTTGTGAGCGAGCGATTTGGCTTCTGCATAAATTGGTTTGCTCTGGAGCTCTCCTTCCTGGGCTGAGACAAAAATCTGTGAGCCGCAGGCTAAGAAACTGTGAGCTAGCTCATACTAACTTAGCTTAGAGGGAACACTGCTCACCATAACTTACCAACAAAGACCTGTGTTTGCTTCTATAACTGTTAAATTCAGAATCAACAGTTGGGACTCTTGTACTTCTATATGGTGGCTGTACTGTGTTTCTTCTTTGCCTCCTGGCTTTTAAATTCCACTGATCATTAATCTCAGAGAAGAACACATACACATGCTGTACTACTAGGCTGTGTTTCTGTGCCACCACTGCTGGCTTGAAACTGCCAACACAGACATTTGGAGTACCACTACAGAGAAGCCATGGGGGATGGAGATCTATATTGTGAAAGAGGCTACCTTCAAATATCACAACAAATTTTTATATATGATGGGCATTAACTGTTCTTGTTCACCATACTCACAGGTAGAATGCAAACAGAGCTTCCTGGCCTTCAACCGAATTCCAGTTTGCCATTAGATTCACAGTTTATGGGGAAGGAAATAAACTCCTAGTTTGCTAGGTTCCTGCATTCAGACATCATGGCAAACTGACATTTGAAATCTTCATGTTTGGAAAACCTTCAACTGTTTGCATTCTGCATGTAGGGAGAGGAAAAAGGGAACATGCAGCTATGACAAACAAATTGTGTTTATGCCCATAAGGAATAAACAGGCTTGACCTAATGTTTGAATACAGAGAGGAGAGGTGAAATCTACATTAGCAGAGTGGGAAGCAGGTGATTTTTCTTCTGACTAGCTATTTACACAGCTTTGTTCTCAGTTCCAGGGTCTAAAACACAATCAGAAGGCTCCACACATAGCATGAATTAGAAATAGCATATTTGGAACAAAAGATAACAGCGAATTTAGGGCTGGTGAGCTGTTTAATTTGAGCTGTAATAGTGACGTTTATGGTTATTACAACAAAGTAAACATGAAACAATGAAATTGAAGTTCTAACAATTCATGGAATTAAAGCGCATACAAATGATTGTAATAAACAAAACATATACAGCAACTTTAAAAGATGAAACCAGTTCTCAGTCTAGATGTCTATATGAAATAGATTAACTCTAAGATCCACTGTAGCACAGAGAGGTCCTTGGAATCAGACATGTGGGTGGTGATGCCATTAACTTCTTGTGTTGAGAAATGTCAGCAAGTCAACCTGGGGTGCCAGGTCAGTGCTACAGGGTAAACCTCCTGTGTAAACCTGCATATACTCGTTTCTGTGCCACTGACATCACAGTAGGATGAGACTGACGAGAGGCTTGAAAGTGCTGCATTCTAAAGGCTGCTGCTGTCAGCACAGTACCACAGATCTTGCACTTAACACATAGCGATAAACTGTTGGACCAGGATTACTCTCAAAACAAATAATAGGAAAAGCCTGCCCTATTGTTGCTCTCAGGGTATGTTGCTTGTGATACTAATGCAATGATTTCTGTGTATAGTACATTCAGACTGGTGTGTGACTTGGTTGGAAACTAATCCAGCTGTGTTAAAAATGAACAGAAGATGCAGTGATACTATGTCAGCTAGATCACATGTATTTTGTTTTATATAACAGGGCCCTACACTTTTGTTCAACAACATCTCATGATAGGCACAGATCCACGTGCGATTCTGAAAGACTTGTTGCCAGAAACTATTCCTCCCCCTGAACTGGATGATATGACACTGTGGCAAATAGTTATAAACATTCTGTCTGAACCACCTAAAAGAAAAAAGCGGAAGGATATTAATACTATAGAGGATGCTGTGAAACTCCTGCAAGAATGCAAAAAAATTATTGTTTTAACTGGAGCTGGGGTACGTATTTCCTATGGTTAATAGAAGAAATTGATCATTTCTTGAATTCTGAATTGGTCTCATGCAGCTCAGTGCGAATGGTAGTGCTGCTTCTGGACTGATTGTTTCTCATAACCTATTGGTGATTTATATATTCTACAAATCTCCCGCAGGAAGCCTAGCATACAAATAACTGTTAATATTTTCCCTCTAGGCATTAATTATCTTGTATCTTAGTTTCTGCCAATACAGATTTATGCAGAGTTACTCCCATTTAAAGCCACTAGTCTTAGTCCGGGATAACTCTGCATAGCCTTTGATCCTGCTGAGTGTCAGCAGTCAAGCACAGTGTTGTGTACTGTATCCTATGTTCAGCACCTTGTTTCCTTCTGCTTATTTTGTAAGTCTTCCACCCCTTTGAAGCACCAGTAACTGCCAGTCAGCTTCCCCAGAGTACTGTGCAAGAAGCTCTTTCAGGATAGATCAGAGATGAAAAGGGCTGGGTATTTAGTACAGACCAAAAAATGTGACAAGAGCAGGTGACAGGGTTTTAGGAAGCAAACAGGACAGAACATGGCAGCTGCACTGATTTGCCTTGTTTACTATGTTACATTTGTTCTGGTTGAAAGGAAATGCTTGCATTACAAATAAATGCCCTAAGTAGGCTCATTCTGTTGTTTTTAATATCTGTTGAACTGATATCTCTCAATAGGTGGAAAAAGTTATCATTTATCTGGAAGTGGATGGACTATGCTTTAGCTTTTTTTCCTTGTAGTATTTTGGCCTACATGTTCTTTATAGTAGATTACCTAAATGATCTGACAGTACATACCGTTGAATAAGAATTTGCTTCCATGTAACCATATAATTTAAAAATTGTGAAGAGAAGGAATAATTCTTTTGTCAAAAGAAAACGAGCACTTCTGTTTTGCAGCATGTTATTCTAATGTTCACATGACGTAAACAGTAGATACAATTGCATCTAAATACACATTTCATACAACTTTATGCAACATTTCAGGTATCTGTTTCTTGTGGAATTCCTGACTTCCGATCTAGAGATGGTATCTACGCACGCCTTGCAGTGGATTTCCCAGATCTTCCGGATCCTCAAGCCATGTTTGACATTGAATATTTCCGAAAAGACCCAAGGCCATTTTTTAAGTTTGCAAAGGTGCTTCTTCTTTCTCTCTCTCCAGTGCCTTTATCACTACCCTATGACCACTCCTGACCCTTAGGACGAGAGCTTATGTGTAGGATTAGGCTGGAGGAGAACCAATTTCAAATCCCCACTCACCATGACACCCGTTGGGTGAGCTTGTAATTCCCTCTCATCCTAACCTATCTCATGGGCTTGTGAGAATAAAACAGAGAACTATGTACTTGAACTCCTTGGATGAAGGGCAGGATAAAAGTATATTAAATTAATAATAAGAAGCATACTGTTAATGGTACCTGAGTGTAATATTACAAATAATCACATTTGAAGTTCACTGGAAAGTGTTTGAGAACAATAGTCAGAACCTTGTTTTGTTGTTGATTTTATTTAATTTGGTGGATAGAAAGGAGCAAAATAAGAACAATGCCAAGCTCATGGGATAAACAACAAAGAGAATTCCTTCAAATAGCCAAATTTCATGGTCAGGTGCTATTACAAAGGCAGTAAAAGGGGCCCACTCACAGAAAAGGTTGGAGTTCTTCATTATCTCTAGGTATGTCCCTCCAACTCCTTTAAAAGGACAATAATCTCCTACTCCGGTGGTTTTATCAGGACTGCATGCATGACCCTCAGAATACTCAGAACTAGTAAATCAGTTAAAGGGGCTAAAAGAGAGAGCCCCAATTTGTGCATTAAATGTTTAAATACTATTGTGATCTATGCCTCTGATACAGCATACTCTCTTCTGAGTGTTTCCTTGAGGGAGAGGATTTAACTAATTCCTCTAATCATTTACATTTTAATCTTCAGATTATACCACTGTTGATTAGTCTTCTCCATTCAGATGTCGTATTACAGTAATATTGAACTGAAGCATAAAGCTTAACACAAACTGAAAATAATGTAGATCCAGTTGGTCAGCCATGTTGGTCTCAATCAGTACAACAAATTTAGTGTCCAGTGGCACCTTTAAGACCAGCAAAGGTTTATTCAAGGCATGAGCTTTCGTGTACACGGACACTTTATGAAATACAAATAATATATTCATGGCTAGAATCCTGATGTTGGAGTTTTTGGCAACAAACACTAATGTTGATTTTCTGATACTGCTTTTCTGATATTGCTTTTAAGAGTAACTGACATGCCTAAATAGAATATGTCAGCCACAAAGTTCTTTACATAATTCTTTCTAAATTCTGTAGGAAATATATCCTGGACAGTTTCAACCATCTCTCTGTCATAAATTTATAGCGCTGATGGACAAAGAAAGAAAACTGCTTCGCAATTATACTCAGAATATAGATACACTGGAACAAGTTGCAGGAATTCAAAGGATAATCCAATGTCACGGTCAGTCAAGCTTCAGTTATTCTCTATCCTAGACCTAGGGGTTATGTTGATGTGATCGTGGATACAAAGTTTGGGCGTAAAAGTGTCCTCCTGATGCAGAAAGTATTCTACACTCTTGGAAAGGCTGTTTTGTACCTTATGTGTGAACAGTGCACAGGAAAAGTGAAACTGATTCCAAAGATGTATGCTTGGATATATGAGAGAATGCACAACAGGCTTGTACAGCCTCTTACATGAGTATAAGAACTTGACCTACCCTGACCTGGGCAGCTGATCTTCTCAGATCTTGGAAGTTAAGCAGGGTCACCTGTGGCCAGTATCTGGAAGGGAGACCACCAAGGAGTACCAGGGTTGTTACGCTGAGGCAAGCAGTGGCAAACCACCTCTGAACATCTCTTGCCTTGAAACCCCTCCGGGGTCACCATAAGTCGGCTGTGACTTGATGGCAGGGAAAAAATCTACTTGTGTGAACTTCTGCACAAGTTTTTGTGTGTGATTTTGTGGAACAGCATTAGTGACTGTTCCTTTCTGTTCACAGTTCTCTGGCTCCAACCTAGTGAATTTTGCAGTTTATTTTCTAGAGAATATAAGGTGGGCTCAATATGTTGACCATCCTATTTATAAATTTGGAAAAGATTGTGCCTTAATTCTATAATGATGAATTGTTTCGTCAGTTCTTTACCCTGAATTTTCACTTTTCATTTAAGTAAAGTCACTAGGCTTTCCACTTACAGTGGGATAAGGAAAAGGATGTAGGCTATATTTTGCTCAGCTGCTAAGCAGTAAACCAACTTCCAGTGTGTTCTCTCGCTCTCCCCCCCTCCCTCCCTCTCCTTACTGTCAAGGCACAGCTGACTTACCAGTAGGATTTTCAAGGGAAGAGACTAACAGGTTTGCCATTGTCTGCCTCTGCATAGCCACCCTGGTGGCTTCATGGTCTCCCATTCATATACTAGCCAGGGGTGATCCTGTTTAGTTTCTGAGATCTGATGAGATCAAGCTAGCATGGGTTCTGGCATGCAAGAAAGGTTGAATTGAGTAACAAGTACTTAGCAGTTTCTTTTTTTTCAATTTGGGGTTTGCTATAATATGGCTCCCCCCCTCCCCCTGTAGCCTTATGCCCCCCTCACACCATATGATTTATGTCTATGGGACAGTGATACAGAAAGAAGTAGCCATCCTTAGAACATGTACAAAACTGTAGAGAAACACTGTCTTCTAGGAGAGAACATAAGACAAAAAATTATGTGCTCATGTGTGACTGTGTGTGCACCTGGAAATCATGGCCATCTCTGGTGACTGACCTGTACTGGAGGCCTGGAGGATATTCAGAGAGTTGGCTGAATAAAGCCTGCCTCTGCCCCTGGTATTTCAAGGAGTCTCCCATCCAAGTACTTGCCAGAGTCAACCCTGCTTAGCTTTTGAGATCTGGTGAGATCAGGCTTGCCTAGGCTTATCCAGGTTAGGGCAGAGAGAGCATAAAACTTGATGAATGAGACATCTGGAGAAGGAGTATAGAAATATTTCAAATGAATAACAGATTGAGTTTCTGCTGGAATAAACGAGGTAATCAGGGCATACATGTTAATATGGACCCATCAGAGATGTCAAACTCATTTTTATGAGGGCCAGATCTGACCTAAATGAGAACTTGCTGGACCAGGCCATGCATGTCATAAAATGTAATGCCAGGTAGCGGAGATATAAACTTTATAAAGGACACAGACAAACACAATTAAAGATTTTTTAAACTTTAAATAAAATATGCTTAAAACACTAGCACTCTTGCAATATTTTGTCTATTTAACAGTGTCTGATAATTGACACCTCTGCTCTGAATTATTGCATCAAAATGTCTGTGTTGTAGCAATCTTGATTATGGTGTTCAGGTGTGTATCTGTAAGCTGCAAACCTACTTTTGATTTACTGACATTCATTACAGAAATCTCATGCTCAGTGTTCCTAGCCTAGGGCCTATGGAAAAACATGAAATGGCTGGGCATTGCAACCTTTTGTACATAAGTTGCTTCATGTGCTGGTCAAGAACATGAGAAGGCATCCTGACGCAGACTGAGGGCCATGTGTTAGTCTACAAACCTATAGTCTTCCCCAGAGAAATAACTACAACGTCCTACAAAGTAAATGTGCCGGGTGAACTTGGTCTGGACAGCCTAATCCACCTCATTGGCTTGTTGTTATTCCTCCTCTAAAATAGTTCACATTGTTTTCTTACTGAGAGAGACTGGATCATGAGGGCATGAATACAGTGAAAAGAGGCCCAGTTGCACCCAGGAGAGCCCTGGCATAAAGAGCCCAACAAAACACACACACACACACAAACACACTGTAGCAAGGCACACAGAAGCTCATACCTTGAACAAAACTTTGTTGGTCTTAAAGTTGCTTGGTATTTCTCCCATGAAATTGAGGCAGCCCAGCAAAGCAAGCTGTCCCTCCCTTCCTTCAGGGAGGAGCCTCAGCCGGTGGAAGGGAAGAAAGGCTTCCCTTTGTCTCCTTCAGCCTGGGCAGGAAGCAAGCTCTGGCTGTTTCCTCCCTCCCCCTGGAAGTAGGAGGGGGGGAGCCTCAGCCAGTGCTTTACCAGACTCTCTCAATTGCACAGGAGAGGCTTGCCATCTATCTCTCCTGTGCGAATGAGACTAGTAAAACAAGCTGTGATGTGGCAGCAGCAAGAGAACTGGAAAAGGAAGTAAGAAACAACCAGGGCCTTGCAGACTGGATTGGGGCCCTCCGAGGGCCTGATCCAGCCCGTGGGCCATATGTTTGTCACCCCTGAATTACATCATAATTTTTTGTTAGTGTGATTTAGAGCCATTGTGGCTCTTGCAGAATTCCAGAACACTTGAGCCTGTGTTTGTTCAGAAGTAGTGTTGTTTAACATCATTTTTACATTGTTGCTACCCACCTTAGGCCCTAGGATGCCTGGGAGAAAGACAGATACATTTAATATTTTAAAAACATATAAGTTCTAATGATTTAAAAGGAATTTCCACTCAAGGAATTATTTACAGAATTGGACCCTTGATAAGTGAAACAACAACCAAGAGACCCAGCCGCGGGTGCCTGATAGGTAGTCATTTCCCTCAATATGTGGCCCTAGTGAGGTAGTGTAAATTAAATGTACTGTGTAAACCGCTCAGAGCCCTCCGGGGGTTGAGCAGTCTAGAAATTGAAAGTTAAGTAAATAAATAAAATAAAATGGCTCTTAATACAATCTGGAAAGAAATTAGGTGGTACATTTGGCCTTTATCTTTCATCCCCATCACCCAGGGTCCATGCTAAAACATGTGGCAGATAAGAGTCTCCTGATGAACAGAAGTGAATCTATAAAAGGAATTCACGAAACAAATGAAATACCAGTAATCTCCTTTATCTGTGTGCAAAATCAAAGCAACTATAATGTTATGCTTTCAGATTTTGTGGCTACAGGAAGCTGAATATGACTTCGGTTACAATTGTATACACACATACTTGGAATTAAGCCCTATTAAATTTAACAGGGTTTGGTTTTGAGAAAGCATGCGTAGGATTGGCTTTTAAATTGTTCTGGTAACTTAACTACTTGAATTTATACAATATTTCAGTAAGGCTCTAATTTCTGCATCCACAAATATCTTGCTGTTTTTTTTCAGGTTCCTTTGCAACAGCTTCATGCCTAATCTGTAAATACAAGGTTGATTGTGAAGTTGTTCGTGAAGACATTTTTAATCAGGTAAGAGTAATAGGTTTTGTTTTCTGTGGGAGGGGGTGATTTTCGTCTGTTCTACCCTGTCACTGCAGATCCCCTTGTTGCATCCTGTGGTGTTCTTGAGAGTCCCACTGACACCCTAGGAGCAGCAGTTTGGGGAGCACAGCAAGCTGCAGGGGGAAGCTGAAGGCAAACAAAATCTGTTCTGAAAGCAGAGCTCTGCTTGTAGTCCTTAAGGATCCAATCCATTGTCAGGTACATTTAATGAACAAACGTCTTTATAAAATTCAGGACATTCACATCATTTTCTCCTTGTTCTAGGACAGTTGCAGGGTTGTCATGATGACATTCTAACTTTGGCCAAACAAAGAAGACTAAAAGGGCTCTTGAGTTTGGAGAAATGATGACTGAGGGGTGACATGACAGAGGTTTACAAAATTATGCATGAGATAGAGAAAGTAGAGAAAGAAGTACTTTTCTCCCTTTTTCTCACAATACAAGAACTAGTGTGCACTCAATTAAATTGATGAGCAGTAGGTTTAGAACACATAAAAGGAAGTACCTCTTCACCCAAAGAGTAATTAACATGTAGAATTCACTGCTGCAGGAAGTGGTGGCGGCTACAAGCGTAGACAGCTTCAAGAGGGGATTGGATAAACATATGGAGCAGAAGTCCATCAGTGGCTATTAGTCACAAGGTATAGATAGCAAGAAATTGCAAGAAGATAAATAGGTACTGCTTCAGTGGGAAGGTAACAGTGTTCCGTGCGTCTTGGCATTAAGTTATGCCGGCTGCATGACCACGGAAATGTCTTTGGACAGCACTGGCTCTTTGGCTTGGAAATTGAGATAAGCACTGCCCCCTAGAGTCGGATTCGACTAGCTTTCGAGCAAGGGAGCCCTTTACCTTTACTTTTTATAGATGGAACACTATGTCTAGGGCAGTGATGCTCTGTATTCTTGGTGCTTGGGGGGCCATAGTGGGAGGGCTGCTGGAGTTGTGGCTGGTGGACCTCCTGATGATACCTGGGTTTTTGCCACTGTGTGACACAGAGTGTTGAACTGGATGGGCCATTGGCCTAATCCAGAATGGCTTCTCTTATGTTCTTAAGACTTGGCATGTATATTGACATCTCCCAAGATAAAATATGTAGGCATCTCCCAACACCAGACCAGCAACTCTCTCTGCCAGCTCAGTTAAGAAGTTTAATGGAAATATTGCCAGTCAGTATACCAGCAGGATCACTGATCTGTCCCTGCAATTCCACACAAGGTACACAGAAGCTGTGTCCAATTCCTCCATGGATTGACTGAATGCACAGAGGGGGAGAGCATGCATAAGTGCACTGGCCCTGCCTCTGATAGCTCATGACGAGTATAGTGCCTCTGTAGAGGCAACGCCCATAAGCACGCTTCCTCCCCATGAATGGTAACCTTTAGAAAGCAGCATCCCCATTCACAGGAGGGAGCATACACATGGACTCTGCTTCCACATGTTAGGGGTCAGGACCATCACACTAGTGTTTACACAGCAACTGAAGCCAGATACCATCTGTACGGGGTTATCTGCAAAGAGAGAAAAATTCCTGGAAAGCTGTCACCATCCCTCTTCCCCATCCCTGAGATCAAAACTGATGAAAGACTGAACACCAAGCCAGAAAAAGCTGTGATAAAATTGGACTACTTACGTCATATGGCCAGCTTTCAGTTCAACTGGCTAGGTCCATATTCTCTATAGTCCTGGTTGTACAACTGCAGAGTAGGCAATGGGTATAGAACCCACAAGGCAGTTTGAGAATAAGGATAGAAGAGAGAAGGAAATGAGAAAGAGGGGCTACTGATTCAAGAAGGTGGTGCTTGGAGGACTATAGGCCAGGGCTATGAGACGCAGAGCCTGGAGCTTGTTACAGATGTGCTGTCATGAAGGGTTCCATATAAAGGGGTTGTGCCAGTTCTGATCTAGCAACCTTAAAGGCAAAAAAAGAGTGGATCTGACTTAATACACTGGTTGATTGGAAGTATCCAGTGACTTTCTTGGCAGCAGGCTTCCAGTTCTTCTAAGATTAATGATTATGATAAGATGTGGTGTCTTGTCTTTTGCCTACCCTCAACAGCAAAACTCAAATGACACTCCATGCAATTTACTCTTACGGTTTTGTGAAACTATTATCTACACAATTTGAGATTAATGTGTAATGTCAGTTGGGTTTTTCTCTGGGATACCTTCCAGGAACTGTCAGTGATTTTGCTCATAATGATGCTTTTAATGTGGTATGCAGGCATGTAGAATAGGTCTAACGTTCATTATGTATGCTCAGGTATTACGAGAAAAACTCCATAAAATGTTAAGGACCCTACTGAGTGCAATCTCAGCAGCAGCTGAAAAAAAATCTATAACAGTTGTATGCAGGCCCATAGCAAGGGTTTTGTGACTTGTGGGACATTGGGTTTTTTTGGTGGGGCTTAAATTTTACAGTTTAAAAAAATATAACAAAATAATAAACCCAGTCCCTGCAATCTCCTCACCCCACCACTCCTTGGCTGTAATTTCTCTCCCCAGGGGGGCCTAAGAAGAGGCTGTAATTGAGCCTTGTTGCACTTCCTCTTGTTGCTGGCAGCTGAGGGGTTGGGAACAAAGACAGTGGCGGGGGGGGGGAGGAGCAGCGGAAGAAGTTGCTGCTGCTGCTGCCGGCAGCAGTAGGAAAGGTGTGGCAGAGGTCAGCAAGGCGGAAGAAGACAAGGCCGATGGGCAGCGTGACTGCGACGGCCGCTCCGACTCCATGCGTGGTCCGGCCTGCCCAGGCTGTTGAAGCGGCAAAGGCTGCCCAGGCTGTGGTGGTGGTTGTTGGCGGAGCTCTCTTTAAAAGCTAAGCAAGAAGGCGCTGCAGAGCTGGAGTGGGCGAGGTGGCTGGGTGAGGGTGCGCTGGGTTGGCAAACAGATTTTTTGGCTTCCCCCAGGACTACCTTTCCCCATGCCTCAGCTGTGGAATTTACACAGCAGATAAAGTCTCAGTGAAATGAAAAGCCGTGGAGGGCGGTCCTGGAGATGTCATGTGCAGCAGGGTTTCTCGGCTCTGTTCTTGGTGCACAGCTTGCCGCGGGAGCATGCACCTTTACAAATGACTTTAAAATGACTTTAAAAAGCTTTTACAGGAGAAAAAAAAAGGGAGCAGAGCCCTGAACAGCCCCGCCTTAGCTACAGACCTGGCTGTACGTGTTACATCTTCAAAATATGTCGTGGAGATTTGACGTTCTACACAAGTTATCTATTGCCGCTAATGCACTGAAAGAATGCATTTATTAATTCTAAACACTGATCCACTTTTCTGCGTGCAGGTTGTTCCTAGGTGCCCCAGGTGTCCACCTGACGAACCCCTTGCCATCATGAAGCCAGAAATAGTATTCTTTGGTGAAAATCTACCTGAGCAGTTTCATAGGGCCATGAAATATGACAAAGACGAAGTTGATCTTCTTATTGTTATTGGGTCGTCTCTCAAAGTAAGACCAGTAGCATTGATTCCAAGTAAGTGTTCATTGCTTACTTATTTGAAAGGGGGGGTCATGCTTTAGATTAAAAATGTATGGGGAACAATTCATACAGCTTATATATTGTACAATGCAGACACAAGTGGAGTTCGGGAGCTTCCTAGATTGAATCACTGTAGAAGTAATGATTAAAAATGTATGGGGAACAATTCATACAGTTTATATATTGTACAGTGCAGAGACACAAGTGGAGTTCGGGAGCTTTCTAGATTGAATCACTGTAGAAGCAATGAGTGTATGTGTGTGTGTACTCTGGAATGTAACAAATAGCACTAAAATGGTTGAACAAGCTTATATCATCTGCCATAAAACTCAATTTAACTTAATTTTAATTTTTTTCCCTTAAATGTAGGTTCCATCCCCCATGAAGTGCCTCAGATTCTAATTAATAGGGAACCGTTGCCTCATCTACACTTTGATGTGGAGCTTCTTGGTGACTGTGATGTGATTATAAATGAATTATGTCATAGGCTGGGTGGCGAATACACAAAACTTTGTAACAGCTTGGTCAAACTTTCAGAAATAACAGAGAAACCTCCACGAGTGCACAAGGAACTTGAAATACACTCTGCTGAGTTACCACCAACTCCTCTAAACATTTCTGAATATTCTAGTTCACCTGACAGAATGGTGCCACAAGATTCTCGGGTGGTACACTCAGAGCCTTCTTTTGAATATAAAGCAGGAAATTCTGATGCTGCCTTGGTGTCTAAAGAGAACTGTCTAGAAGGGAAAGAACATGACATTCAAAATTCTCTAGAAAATGCAGAAGGTCTTACTGACCAGTTAGAAAACCCAGAACATGTAAAAGAAAATGGATCTAACCAAGGTGAAAACAAAGAAAGAATTTTATCTGTTGAAACACTGAGAAAAAGTTGGATCAACCGATGTGCAAAAGAGCAGATTAGCAAGCGACTTGATGGTAAGTTCTGACTTCTTCTAAACACCATGGGTTGGATACTATAAAGTGAAATGCAACCCACTTTTTCATCCAAAACCACAGAACTGCTCAGCCAGTTGGTTGTAATATAGTCTGTGTATGGCTGCCTTTTAAGACCTCTCAGAAACTTTGATTTCTCCAAGATGCTGTGATAAGGATGCCGACAGGGATCTAACTGCAGTGATAGCATTATGCCTGTTACTGCTTTGGTTTCCTGTCCATTTCTAGGTGTAGTTCAAAGTGCTATCTTTGACTTATGTAAAGCCCTTTAAGCAGCGTGTGCTCAGAGCATCTGAAGTGCTGTTTGCTCCTTCAGGCTGCTGTGAATCTGCCCATTCATTTAGATCTTCTGAGGCTCCTCTCCATATTTTCCCCACCATCTGAGATGAGGGTTGACTCAGCAGAAGAGGGCCTTTCCTACTGTGGTGCCATATCTTTGGACTTCCTTGTTGATCATTCGGTTGACACTGTTCTGTTACTATAGTGATAGAATTTTTATCTGCTGTTGGGTTTTTTGTTACATTCTTTGCCTTTTTTTCTTCTGCAGTGAATTGGTGAAGGGTGTTTAGGGGTGATCTTAAGAGATTTGAGAAAGAAGGGGCAACAAAAGTGCTACTTCTAGGTCTTATGTTAAGGTGGAACTTATCACCATGGGTATTTGCATGTTCTGCTCCTGCATTTCCCAGGATCCACCTTTTGTGTGAGACCCAGGAGAACAAGTAAGAGTATCACACTTAGAAAATCTGAATCGAGCCATTGTTGCAAGAGAAATTTGAAAATAAGTTGTAATAATTGGTGAACAGTTCATTGTTGATAATGAGCTATTTGTATGAAGCAGTGCACAACATGGATTGGTTGCTTTTCTCCACATCAGACTTTTTTGCTATTTGCAGAGTTAAAGCTTGTGTCGAGCTACTGCATACAAATGGATCATGTCACATGGCAGCAGAAGGTGTTGTCAAGTCATAGCTGACTTATGGCGCCCCTGTAGGGTTTTCAAGGCAAGGAGATGTTCAGAGGTGGTTTGCTTGTGCCTCCGCCTGCCTCTGTGTTGCGACCCTGGACTTCTAGGTGGTCTCCAATCCAAGTACTAACCAAGGCCAACTCTGCTTAGCTTCTGAGGCTGAGCTAGTGTCAACTATCCAGTTATACCATAAAAGCAGTCATAAGTTCTTGTTTCCATCTCCCAGATGGCAAACTGCAACTGTGTTTTTCTTGCATTATGATTTGTATTAAAAGGCAGCAGTATGTTTTCCTTTATTGCTTAGCTTCTGAGGCTGAGCTAGTGTCAGCTATCCAGTTATACCATAAAAGCAGCCATAAGTTCTTGTTTCTATCTCCCAGATGGCAGGATATCTAATGGTATATTGAAAGATATCTTAACTTTGGATGCATCTTCCTTTGAGATAAAGCTTTCATGTATTTACTAGTTGTGTTAACATCCCTCAGAAATCTTGAGTTCCACAAGCCTGTTGTAGTTTGCCATCGTAGAGCCCAAGAAAAGTCTTGTATAGTGAACTGACTTAATAAGCATTTAGATGATAAGGTCAGATGTTATGGCTTTTTTTAAACTTGGTCACCAGTACAGTCTGATAACATACCTGAATTACTAGGAGAATTTTAAAGCAGCTACTTGAATTCTTCTCAGAGGTGAAAGGCAGACATGCTGTGGTAAGGATCAGTACACGACACCACTATGCTGCATGACCTCTTCCCTGGAATCCTAAAGCCCTTTTATCAAACCTTCTGCATCACGGGGCGTTTGCTTGCAGCAATTCCCTTGCTTATAACTGTTGCATCTTTCAAATTCTTCTATAGGTTTTTTATAATTACTCATTCTGAAATAACTCTTCTTGCTAATCAAATGTGTTTCAGGTACTCAATACTTGTTTTTACCCCCAAATCGCTATATCTTCCATGGTGCTGAGGTATACTCAGACTCTGAAGATGATGTCATATCCTCCAGCTCTTGTGGAAGCAGCAGCGATAGTGGGTCCTGTCATAGTCCAAGCTTAGACATAGAAGATGAAAGTGAAATTGAAGAATTCTATAATGGCATAGAAGATGATGATGCTCCTGACAGAGAAGAGGAGAATGGGGAAGATGGAACTGACCTTCAAGAATCTGTTGATGAGTCAGCTTCTGTAAATGAGGCTGTAGGACCTGATCATCAAACAGACAAGCTGTAAAGTAATTACTGGTTCCAGGAACTTTTCCACCAGCATTAGAAATTTTGGCATGTCAGAACGAATATGTACTGAATTTAGAACAAGGAAATAAGGATGTAATGTTTATATACAACTAGAGTAGATTTTCATGCATAGTTTTCTAACTTTTCAAATCAAATTCTATAAAGGCACACTCAACACTAACTGATCTTATGTTTCGAATTTTGAAGAAGGTACTACGTATCTTGTACTGTCATTGCATTCACGTTCATTAAGTTAATCTGTGTGATCTGTGTGTATATATACAGTATTTTTTCTTAACAAATTTCAACCTATTATTTTTAAACAGTTTGAAAAAAGCCATTGGAATGTTAATGTAATATAAAGGGAACAGCTAAACTAGACCAAAGAATGGTATCTTCCACACCTCTCTTGCTTTGTTATATTTTGGTTTATTTAAAGCCTGCTTGTATTTCTCCTAATTCTCTTAATGCATAATCTGTTAAACACTGGTATTTCCCCAGAATTTCTATGGCAGCTATGTTTAACAATATTCTTCATACTGAGATGCATGTGAGCATACTGAAAGTTAATTAGACATGATAGCAACGCACCTGCAAAAAATTTTTAGATTACTAGAAAGTGCTTTAAAAAAACCTCCTGTGGATATGTGCTAGTGCCTATGCCTTGCACAACTGTAGCAAGAAAGTGTTCAGTTAAATGAAGTCATCAGACTTGTTTTGATTGAAACAACAGATCTTGATATAAGATGTTAATATACAAAAATGCTTAGTGTAAAAGATCCTTGTATACACTGCCAAGATGTGAATATGCAAAATGTACTGAAAGTGTATATAAGGGGAAAGCAAATGCTACCCAAATAGAAAAAGTGCTTCTATACTTTTTATACCTTACACAGACATTGGTAAGGAGTTAACTTAGACTTCCACTGTAATATGTGAATAGCAGTTTAAGCATGATTTCAAATGTGCTGCCTGAGGGCTTTCCACTTTGGTTTGGAAACCCTAATACCACTTGTTGGTACAGTTCTTTTAAGCAGCTTTAGAATTTCCCCCCATACTGCCTACATGGGTATTGCAAATGTTTCCAGCTGCAGATTGTTTGTTTTTTGTTTCCTATTTCTACATTAAAGAAGTTTTGCATTTCTTTTGAAACCACTTTCAACTGTGTCCCAAAAGAGCTCCACCAGTCATCATTGAAGTGCATTGCTTTAATATTTATTCCATTTTGAAATATGTATAGTAGCTGTCCTTTTAAGCAATTAATACATCTGTTTTTGTAACACAGCATAACAAAGTGTTAAGAATGGCCTTCTGTGTTCATCTAAAAATGTTGGCATGTTTTCTCATGGCCCAGGTTCTAAATGGCAGAACTTAGTGGGCTTCACTAAAGAATGCAATATGTTTCGCTTTGCTTGCATGTCAAAATGTATTTGTGCTATAGGAGATATTTTAAATGGAAAGATTTTGTTTTTAAATTATTTTTACAGTGTGGATTGTTTTCTGCTTTTATATTGTATATAGTGTCTTTTATGTAACCAACTGGCAAATGTTTTGTAGAAGACGGTTTAAAAAATGACTGGCTCTCTTCCTGCAACTTTTGAAATATAAAACCAGTGTTTTATACTCGTACAGTTTGTTTTAAAGTCTATTAAATTGTCATTTACCGTTTGGTTTCTGTTAAGAATGTGTGTGCAAAGCCTCTTCTCATGAAAGCTGTCTTGCCAGTGAATATGAAATACAGCGTGCAGCTGGTGAAAAGCTTTAATTGTGGTGCTTCCCCTAAGTCAATGAATGCTGCTTCCATCTTACCGAGCAGGCACCGGAGTGTATTGTGGGGTGGGATGCCAAGAGGGATTATGGATTTTGTTGCTATATCACCCATGCTGCTGCCAAACAGTCTTCCTTCCTGAACTGACCTCAGGAGGTATGCTCCCTGCAACTGTTTTTGTAAGCTTCAGTATTCATGTAGAAGCCCGGTTTAGATTTTGCTCAGGAAGGATTTCACAGGTTCTATAGCATCTGTCTCAGACTTATACCTAGACACATTTTGTTTGGGCAAGGGGAGAATGATCTGAAGGTATAAGAACTTGATATAACTGTTATTGGATAGGTGGATTATCTGCTGCAGTTTAGACTCCTAGGTACTTTCGACAATAAAACAGCTTCTGAAGAAGCCCACCTGGACCTTTATGGATCTGGATAACTTCCAGCCATAGTCACATCTCTTATTTGTGCATATTCCTAGAATGGGAGTCTTGAGTCTCTTCAATGATACTTACTTAGATCACTTTTTGGACTGGATCCTTTTCTACCTGCCTTGGTTACCCTTAAGTGATGACAAAGTTCTACTTAACCTCTGCAGTTCTTAAACTGCTGACCATAGCATCTTTCTGGATTGGTTAAATGGGGTGGGAGTGAGAGGCATAGAATTAGAATGGTTTTAATCCTTCCTGGATGAAAGATTCCAGGAGGTAGTACTGGAAGACAATTAACAATGGTAAACTAAGAACTTTCAATTAAAATTGCTACCAAAATATTTTATTTAGATACATTCATGCACAAAAGCAGTTAATCATTTTGGATAAGCCCTTATTCTCCTGACTTTACATTTTAAAAACTGTATTAAAACTGGTACAGATAATAATGTACACAGAGATCATATGCTTTTTCCTCCCACCCAGTGTTCCCTCTAAGCTGAGTTAGTGTGAGCTAGCTCACAGTTTTTTTGGCCTCTGGCTCACACATTTTTGTCTCAGCTCAGGAAGGACGGCTCCAGAGCCAACTGATTTATGCAGCAGCCAAATCGCTCGCTCACAACTTTAATACCGGCAGCTCATGAAGTAGAATTTTTGCTCACAAGGCTCCATGGCTTAGAGGGAACATTGCTCCCACCCCCAATCACCTGTCTCATGAGTAAATCATGTCTGTACCGATCTTCTTGCTAATGTTAGTGCTGAAGCAAAAATATGTAATAATGGTTCAAAATATTTATGAAAGCCATGATCTGACTTCACTGGTTAACTCCAAAAAGGCAGAAGACAGAAGTTTATTACCCACCAGAGTCATAGCAAATTCCAAATACACATAAAGAATAATTCCATTATCAAACTGATCATATGCATAATCAATAAAACTAGTTTTATTGGATAAGGTATCAGGCCTTATCCTTGCAGCATGCAAGATAGCAACAGTTCTAGCAACTTATTTTTGTTCCTCTTAATTAAAAAATTAAGCAATATTTTATCTGGAGACAACAGTTACTTGAATAATATTCCCTGCTGTGTTTCATACAACGTACAAAACCATGAACTAGATCTTCTGCCTTCCACTAACTGTGTACATGCATGCACACAATCCTCAAAATTAATTTTCTTTTATCTCCCCTGTAAAAGTACAGCTTCATAGCCACAAGTCTTAAAATGGTAAAGGTATTTCTCAGTCTGTGATCAGGCAGGGATAACCCAATAATCTAGCCTCTGCTTCCACTCAGCCATAGATTAAAAGGTACTACCTGTTCTTATTACAACAGTTTGGTGTAGTCGTTAAGAGCACGGGGACTAATCTGGGAGAACCGGGTTTGATTCCCCACTCCTCCACTTGCAGCTACTGGATGAACTTGAGCAAGCCATAGTTCTGTCAGAGCTGTTCTCTTGACACTTCTCTCAGAGCTCTCTCAGCCCCCCCTACCTCACAGGGTGTCTGTTGTGGGGAGGGGAAGGGAAAGGAGTTTGTAAGCCTCTCTGAGACTCCGAGTGAAGGGCAGGGTATAAATCCAATCTCTTCATCTCCCAAGATTCTCATTTGTGCTGTGATTTAAACTTAGGCTGCTTTCCCACAGATACAATTCTCTATGTAGCTCTCACTGGAGCAAAGGTAGAGAGGCATTTACAGTGGCAATGGAAGCACCCACATGGCAGTTTGCCCTGCCCTCAACCTCCCATGGCTAATAAATGAGGAATTGCCAATTCTTACAGCATTATGTCATAACATCCTATCATAATCTACTAGTTCCCAGGGTTTTTTAAAGCCTCTATAGCTGTTTTCATTTCAGAAATATAAGAAAACATGTAGGCTGCATCTTTTACCTTAACTCCACAATTAAATTTATTCACTTTATTTATACCCAATCTTTCTCCCTAATGGAGTCCCAAAGTAGTTTACATCCTTCTCTCCTCCCTTTTATCCTGACAACTCTGTAGGTTAGGCTGAGTGTGTATAACTGGCCCAAAGTTACACAGCATGGCCGAGTGGGGATTTGTATGAACAGTCACGACCCTGTCTAGAAACAAATATTGAAAAAACAGTCATGAGCAATGTTCCCTCTAAGCTGTGGAGTCTTGTATGCAAAAATTCTACTTTGTGAGCTCCTGGCATTAAAGCTGTGAGCGAGCGATTTGGCTACTGCATCAATTAGTTTGCTCTAGAGCCATCCTTCCTGAGCTAAGACAAAAAATGTGTGAGCCAGAGGCGAAAAAACTGAGCTAGCTCACACTAACTCAGCTTAGAGGGAACAGTGGTCATGAGAGTCTGACCCACAAATCAAGATAGTCAACAAGACTTACAAAGGTTTTTTTTCCTATATATTTTTCCCAATAGACACTACATGACAATGAATACATTCCATCAAATCATAAGAAAACCTTTGTATAAGAATACATCGTCATTGTCTCTGGATTTTATGACAACGTTTCAAAAAACGGATTGTCCTCAGGATATATTCTATAAAGTAGTACAAGAGCTTTCATGCTCATAAAGTGCCATACACAGAACCAGGAATGATATGCATTTAATAGTAGGACACTGATCTCAAAGCTATTCAGGCTGCAAACATGCTACTCAGTTTCTGACGGATCCCATGATTTGATGGAATTTGTTCATTGTTATGTACTGTCTACTGGTAATAATAATAAATTGGGAAAAAATTCTTTGTAAGTCTTGTTGACTATCTTGATTTGTGGGTCACACACTCTCACAACTGTTTTTGCGGTATTTGTTTCGAGTGGGGATTTGACCATGGGTTTCCCAGATCCTAGCACAACATTCTAATCACCACTTCACACTGGCTTTAAAAGGTCTGGACATATGTTTAAAAATGGAATCTGTGGATAATGACAATAAAACATTAAATAAATACAGCAGTTTATGGGCTTTTTTCAAAACCTGGAAAAGTCCTCTAGTGTGTGTGGGGGGGTATGATGATGGGTGATTAAGCAAGGAAAACAGGGCTGATGTGGGCAAGGCCTGCAAAAATCCACACCTTCCTGTCCACATGGAAGCTAAAAGTCATTTTGACTGCAATCTTATGTCCAAATGGCTTGGGGAGAACTCACAGCAAAGTGGTGGTGGTCGTGGGGAAATAAGCAACAGAAATAAAGGATAGCATCATGTTGATGCTCCTAAAAATAGCGCTGCTGCACAGAAGCCAAGGCAAAGCAAAACATCCATGTGGAAAGCAACTCTAGATGTACCAAATTTTAAAAGTTCTATAAAGCCAACCTAGCATTTTAGTTAAACTAGTTATTTGCCTAAAGATGACTTCCTGAAGGTCTGATTTAGGGAAATGCGTAAGTACAACTGGTGGTGTAATTCTACACCAGTTGTACTTACCCATTTCCTCAAATCAGACCTTCAGGAAGTCATCTTTAGGCAAATAACTGAATTTCAGCCAATAATTTAGAAAGTTGGGCTTAAACCAGACCAGCTTCCAAATACATTGTAGGTGTAGATAGAGGCACTGCTAACAGGTTGCGAGTACACCCCCCACCTTTGCCCCATAAGAAGGATTCTCGGTCTGATTTCCACAGATATATGGAAAAGTGAGCAGTGATTCATGAAAGCTCATGTTGAAATAAATGTTTGTCTTTAAAGTATTGTTGGACTTTTGTTTTGTATTACTAAAAAGGCCCTCAAAAACCAATTCTGCATTGATTCAAAAGATGACATTAGAAAAGGGCTCCTCTCTTGTGCATCTGAACAAACGTGTGCAGGAGTGTTGATTTCAAAAACTTTTAAAGCTGGCAGATACTAATCTGATCCCTCAGCTCCATAAAATCTAAGAAGCGCCCGGAAACTATTTCCTGCAGACATCTTGATCTGGTGGTACCTTTCTTCTAATTTCCTGTAGCTGAAAAATGTAAAGATCTTGAAAGACTGGACTTCCTCCAACATATTGCCCTACATATACCAGACCAACTTATGTTTGGGAAAACAGCAATATCACTACACTCCATTAATGTTAAAAAATTTTAATCACCTATTTTAAGGGATGTAAGTCTATCTCCCAATAGCCTAGCTGTAAAATGGTTTCCATCAAAGAGTGAACAATGAGGGAGCCAGAAAGCATCCCTGGTAGACAACCCTCATCAATAACAATACCAGCAGGGCTTAACTTTGCATACAAATATTTTTAAGTCTATTTTAAAATCTTACAAGTATTTCCCAGAATTTACATTCATTAACAGAATCAGAAGTGCAAGAGACATTTGCAAAAGCAGCCTATCTTACTTTCAAATATTTATGAACGGAGTGATTAAAATGTTTAAAACCTTCATCTATAGTAATACCTATTAACTCTAAACCCAGCCT